TACAACGTAGACAATTAACTTCCCGAAATTCGAGGACCAGTATGTCACACATTTCTAGCTACTGAGTTTGCGAACGATCTCATTACAGTATGAAACTGCAGAAACGCGTGATTGCACGGCCCGCTCGGTGCGCGTTGCCAATGATTTTTATGTTTATTAGGGCGCGCACTTGGGCAGGAAGTATCCGCATAAAAGTTTGTTTCTTGGCTTCACTGTTTGCTGGATTGAAAACCCAGACAATTATCCAAAAAATGACTGGAGCTTCAAAAGTATGAGTTTTTCTTTTTGTCTGTGATTTAGAAGGCAAAACAAAAATGGAAAAGCTCAATTTGGTTATTCTCAGATGTTACACCCGCAGAATTTGTTTAAGACCCGTTCGCGAGATATGTGGAAAGAAATGATGCAGCTACAAACAATTACATCCACATTCGCTTCTACAGCAGCAGCCGTGCGTAAAAAACGTCAGTATGGAGCGGAAGAAATCCATCCAGAGCAAGCTTCAGCGAAAAGCGGAAGCTGCTGCACATGTCAAATAGGATCACCAGGACCTCCTGGCCCACCAGGACGTGATGGACGACCAGGGTTGGCTGAATTTTAATGTTAACTGAAACATTCAAGCTCGGTTTTCCAAACAGCAAATTAAAGGCCCTGCTCAAATAATCAAAAATTATTAATGTAAGAATTATCTGTTTCCTGAAGTAAATTTTTTCACGACCTTGGTAATTTAATTTCTGTTTCTTATTGCGCTTCAACACAAAGCCAGCTTTACCAGCAAGTTTTATTTTTCGAAATCGGCCTGATTGTGCTGTAAAGTATCAAGCACACGTCAATTGTTCCATTCTTCAGAGCTCCAGGCCGTCCAGGAAATCCAGGGCCTCCTGGCCGTGATGGTACATTGCTCCCAGGGCCGCCTCCAAAGCCACCGTGCCAGAAATGTCCTCCCGGGCCACCAGGCCCACCTGGACCTCCGGGTCCAAAAGGTCTGCCTGGCCCTCAGGGCTATGCTGGGACGCCAGGTAATTTCAGATTTCCAGATTTAGCTTTGAATTCGCTTTTGAGCATATCATAATTCATGAAAATCCTTTAATACGGATCTATGGAGACTGGCAAAAAGTTTTTTTTCAGGACTCGATGGTGCACCTGGGCTGCCAGGTCCACCGGGACCTCAAGGACTCCAAGGACCACCAGGACTACCAGGTGAAAAAGGGCCGCCAGGTGAGCCGGGAAAGATAATCAATGGTGCGCCACAAGGTCCGCCGGGGCCACCAGGACCACCCGGACCACAAGGTTAGCATTCAAAATTCCGGCTTTATAAGTTGTCTTAGTGTTTGAAAAATCTACAAAATGTATCCAGAAATCGATATTCAGACGAAATTAGTTTGAAATAAAAGACTTACGAAGAAACGAAATTCTGAAATTGATAATAAAAGAGGCATACACACGCTGATTGTCCATTACAGTGCTATTAGGACATCTCTTCCACGTATCGGTCGAAAAAAGTGAATGCATATTTTCTTCATTTCTCAAGGCTCGAAATGGTGTTTGTAACCGGATTAGCGCTGCGCCTACAGTATCGCAAAAATTCATTTTTATGCATTTTTCTGCACTTGTGTAAATGCGAAAATGCGTATTGTAACCTTATTGCAACGACCCATCGTTCATTCGAGTCCCTCTGTGCGTCTGTGCGCGTTTGCGTCTGTCGGGTATTTTAACTTGGTAGCTACGTAAGGTCTAGTATTAGAATTTTGTCAAAGGATTCCCTTTGGCGCAGTAACGTGGTGCCAACGTACTGTCGCAGGAATGTGGTTTCAAATATTCAAGCGTGCCTGAGTTTCGCGTACAGACAATTGGAAATTCTGGTGGCAAAATTTCTTCTAAATCGAGAACCAGAAAAGTCGTGAAGTTGTAATTTTAATGGGAAATACTCCGTGTAAAAATTTAAAATTCAGTTTCTGCGAACGCCTGTTTCTCACTTAAAAGCACGTGAAATAATAAAAATAAA